GATAACTAACTTGTCTTTGTATATTATTGATTTTTTTTTTTTTTTTTTTTTTTTTTTAACTAGTGAAGTCTTGCCATTGAGTTTTTATTTATTCATTAATACAGGTTTATGTATGCAAATTTAATTGTGAATCTATAGCATATATTTATGAAAGGAAAAAATACTATGACTCAATATTTTATTACTAGAAATCCTATAACTTGCTGCAGTTTACCTTGGTGGATGCTAGCATGTCAAGACTCCATTAGCACTAATATTAATAAAAAAGAAAAAGAAGGAGAAATAATTACTATTTGGAGTTTCTTCTATTATAATATTTGTCAGTTTTATGTTAAGTTTTCTGAACCTGTCCTTTAGATGTTTTTTAAGATCAACTTGAACCTGTTCAGGCTCAGGATCAATCTCGAAGCTTTTAATAACCTGTGTTGTTAATAAATTTAGACTTTATGATATAGTTTGCTGATTGTTTATGTTGCCTTTGACTTGCTTCTTCTAATGTTTAAGTTTTTTGTTTATGTTCTGACTTTTTTTTCAATTAATTGTGATAATACATCGTAGCTTCCAAGCTTTTCACTTAGCTTGCCAAAACTTGTGTATTGCTTCTCTGATTGCTTTTAGTACTTTAGATCTGTTCTTTGTTATAGTTTTTGCTACTTGAATTATACCATATGTTATAACTTTCCTGACGATATCCTTCTATTCGATTTTGTGTAATACTTTTATATTTTTATATATTCCTGTATTATTTGTGTTCTTTTTCATTTGTTTTGAATTGGTTCTTTCTTTTTACCTTCAGTTCTCATTGTACATTCCTAAGTTAAGGCCTGAATAAAAACTTTCTGAAGTCTTGTTTGTATTGTGCCTGCCACATTGAAAAATATGGTTGTTAGTTTCTTTATACTGTTTATAGATTTTGCATTTATCATTAAGATAAATATCAGGATGTTTTTCATTTAGTTTTTTCATAGTGGATAGTTTTTTCATCCATGTTTTGATTCTGAAGGAACAGTTTGCATAATCACTTATGTTGATTGATGTTGCTGTAATCCCTGTTGACATTAGGAGCTTGAAAGTCAGGGGCCATCATATTTCTCTAGATTTCTTCTGATTCAGCCAGTCCTGATTTCTTTGTAGTATTTGTTATTTGCTTGGCCATTTGTTTTTGAGTATCTGTCTTGTTAGATTGCATATTATTAGTTAAAGAACTATACTACTTAAAAAATATATAGAGTCCACTAAGCTAGTTTGAACTAAACAAAACAAAGTCTAAATTAGGTACTCTAAGTTAGATTTTGAAAACAATATTATATTCCCCTAATAAATTGATTATACTTTCTATTTATTATAATTATCACCTATAGTTTGTCATTGCAGATTATCTCAAAAAATAATAAATTGCTGAATTACAAACTAGGAAAGGGAAAAAAAGAAAAGAAAACAATTTATAGTTTTTCAAAAAGTTCTTATTCAAGTAAACAGTCTTCTTTCAAAAGAAATCTACCTGATTGTGATATTCTCTAAACTTTGGACCATTTAAGGAACTTAGCCATTTCTGAATATTTAGACTTCAAGAAGAATGTTTGAAGAACTTATCCTTCTATTGATGTATGGATTCACTTATTGTAAAACTAGTATCAATATTACATTACAGTAGAGTTAGCCTGATCAGGATAAAAAAGCCTTTGCAGAAACTTTGTCTAATTGAAATAGAAGCTTGGAGACCTCGGCTTTCTTTCTGAATAAGTCTTCTCACTACCTGAAAAACTTGATTAAAAGATAAAAATGCCATGTTTTATACTTTTCACTTGCCTTTTGGTATTATAACTGTTTTCCTTGTAATTTTGCTCAATTGTAAGGTAACTTTTTCATTAATTTTTTTTTCGATTATTAATTATATCATTGGAATATATGATTATAACTAATAGGAGCTTATTTATATTTCAAAAACTAATATATTTCATATTAGTCAATTATCTTTAGTGAGAATTTATACTATTTAAAATTCAGGATCAAACTGAGATAGAGAAAATTCTCCAAAAACTCATAAAGGACACAAACAGTCAAAAAGAGAGACAATAAGCATATTTCTTATAGAAAACCTTTATATATCTCTTGTTTTAAAGGTTAAAAAGATCTTTGGATATTTTACAGTCAGTTATTCTTTCTTTGGAAACTTTCTTGCCATTGGTATAAAAGGTATTACTTGTCTTTTCTTGATTATTGGAAGTCAAGTTTTGAGTAAAAAGGTTTGTAAATAAGAGAAAAAGTGTAAAAACACTTTTGAAGTCATATATTAAATTGTTTTAATAAAAGTATTAAGACTATATTAGCAAAAAGTATAAAAACTTCTTGTGAATATCTTTTTTGTGTGTAATCAAAGGATTAGTAAAAAGAATTTTTTTTTTATATACCATAAAATAATAAACTAATCTAATTATACTGTATATACTATATATATAAAAATTAGATTATAAACAAATGATATATATAGAGTGTAACAAAGATATAGAAATGATAAACTACTTATTAGAATATCCAACATATGAAAAACAATTGTAAGAAGCATTGATAAAAGGATTAGGAGAGGTACTAAAGAAATTTAAGAAACTTTTGCAAGAAAAAAAAAAGAGAAAATAGAAGAAAAGGATATATAGTAATTACAAATGATAGAGAGGAGAGGAGAAAACTAGATAGGCTAATATCCAAACTTATAAAAAAAGTCTTCAAAAGTGATTACAGAATGCTAAACTTTTATATAAGACTCATAAAAAATAACTGACTTATTGCAATTGCTGACCTCAAATATTATAATAAAAGAATAGGACAAAAAACTTGTAAATGCATTATAAAAATGCAAAAGAAAATTTGTAATCACATCTGAAAAAAGATCTGAAACAAAATATATATAAGAATAATTGAATGAAAATGATCACAGGAAATTAATAAAAAGAATAAAGTAAGAAGATCAAGCTTGAAAATTCAAAATATTAAAATCAAGATCAAAAAATCATCAATTCCTAAAAAAGAAAAATTTAAAAACCTATGGATTAATAGTGCAATTGTTAGCATTCCATAGGTCAAATCACAAGATACAAGTTCAGATTCTTTAGGAAATAATACCTAAAGTTTAGTTAAACTTATAGCTGTTGACTTAACCAAGTAAAAAACCGACTTTTAATATTTTTAAATATAGTCATATGACAATCAGAAAGGGATTGAATGTTGATTGTGATACAGTTTATATAAAGACTGTAATCTGAAGATTAAAATCTAAAACTGACTAGGATTATTTTAACTTGATTGCATTACTCCTAGTAATAAGTAAGGATGGATTCCTAAAATATTTAGCATTTAAAATTTCACAGATTACTTATATCCCTTTTTGAGGAACAAAATTTATAGCTCTTTATTTTAATAGGGACAAAAGTCAAGAAATGCTATAAATCAATGATTTGAATAATGAATAACAATTGTTGGTAGTTTTTTTATAATTATTAATTTAAAATTTTTAATGTTTTCTAGTGAGGAACATTTGACTTTTGTTTCAGCCTTCTTCTTTAGGGATCCATCTTTAATGATAAATTAGAAATGGTAATAAGAAGAGTAAATCTTTAAACCAGTAGAATACTGCTGATATCAAATATTGGACTATTAGAAATCTATAGTCTTAACTATCGGAAGGTTTTGAGAGAAGAAGAAATTTGCTAACTATTCTAAAGGATCAAAAATTGGATTTAGAATAAAGAAAATTCAATAGCCTGATAACCAGTTTACTCTTAATAAAAATGAGTTGGGAATAATTAAGAAGAAATTGTATGATTTTTTGAAAAGTTAGTGCTTATACATACAGTACAATCAATATAACTAGTCATATATGGATAAGTACTAAAAATAGATAATATATATAATGCTTATTTAATGTACACATAGTAAAGAAAAGTAGTTTATATATATAAGATACAAACAGAAGATATAAATAAAATATATAGTACAGTTATTGAGTAAACTGAATTGAGAGAAAGTAAGTTAAATGTAACATAAAAATAATTAAATAGAAATTGTGATTCTAGTAAAGGTCCTTTGAAAAACATGGAGTACTTTTATTTTTCTTTTTTTCTTTTCTCTTCATATTGTACATTTATGCATTTTTAGATATTTCCTTTCTTTTATTTTTTCTTTTTCCTATTGTAGTTTCTCAAAATCAGTTCTTTGAAAAATAATAGATAGCGACAACCTGTCAGCAATGATGGGTAAGTTAGGAGGGTTTTTACTCAAAACTTATTCTGGAAAAAATTTATTGTTCCCAAGGTTGCACTTAGAAGCTGAAACTTATTTAAGAATTGAAAGCATTGATGAGTGAGTCAGCATAAGATTTAATTTAACCATGATATAATTGTCCAATTTGTATTGATTTTCTTTAAGATTAATAAATACACAATGCTAGCCTGACCACGGGTTTAAAAAAAAAATAATAATAAAAAGAAAAAAATCAAACATATACGTAAGTGTCACCACAAAAATTTGAATCACGTGTAGCTATACCCACAAATTAAAAATTTTTTCCTTTTCTATCTATAGTTAGGTGAAATAAGTTAATTTCTTGATAGAAAATACTGTATAATAAAGATAGAAAAAAAAAATAGTCTAATCGTTAATATTATTTTTCAATTATAAAAATATTTACAACATTGAAATATTGTTTCTATTGTCTCTTTAATTAAATATTTTAATATAAGCATATTAGCTTTTTAAACTTAAATAGTTTGTAATACATCGTTATCTTCTTTTTAATATATTAAGTGTCATGTTAAAAGGTCTTGGCCATTCTCAATAAGGGATGCGCCTCAGTGTTAAATACATAAGTATCTAGAGAAATAGATGATGGTGAACTGAATAGCAAGTATAGATACTTCAGTGTTTCTGCAAGGAAGAAACTTTTAAATAAAATTCAATCAGTTATGATATAATACTGTAAGTAAAATACTTCAATCGCATATTAATTACCTTTCCATGTTGTCATTTTGTAACTTCTCTACTGAAGTCACATCATATAATCCCGAATATGCGGTAGGTGTTTTACACCACTTTTCAATTGACTTATTAGAAAATAAATAATCAAGCTTAGATTACCAATTCGTAACTTTGTAACCCAAGTAAATACTAATATTGTTATATTACCTCCCAAATTTTCCAACCTTTCTCTTGATATTCCTTATCTCCTGTTACTCTATATAAAATAAATAAGCTTTCGATCGTTTCTGCAAAGGTTTAAACAGTTATCATTAAATTATAATTAAACTTGCAAATACTCGTCATTATCTTACCTGGTCTAAGCAAATATCTATTGTCCGTTCTGAAAATTCCATCACTTGTCTCTGACATTCTACTATAATAAAGAGTTTTATTTCCGACATTCACGTCGAGCCAAACTTCTTCCGGACCAATTCCAGTCTCTGTGGCATTATATAACCAGTAACATGTTTCAGCTAAACTTTTTGCGGTTTCTAGATCTTTTGGGCGGTCCAAAATTTTAGAACCTATTGCAAGCATGCCTGGAACAAAACAAGCCTAAATCGTATAGATTTAGATTACTATCGTTATTTGAAGAAATGTAGAGAGAAAGAGTACAGTACCAGATGTCCCATCTTTCCAATAAATGAATTGTGTGCAAATTCTCCTAAAAACAATAGATCGGGTCGTCCTTCCGCTGAACTTTCTTTAATCAAGTATTCATGCATGCTTTCGATTGATTCTACATCTTTATTATTGAAAAGATCAACATTATTACAAGCAAACATGTGTAAATAAAAATCAAAGTTTCAAGGTATTTACACATTCTACGATATTGGTCGAGTGCACCTCCAACGAGTATATACTCTTTTATAAGGTACTGTTGTAGAAAATATGATACAACTGATCAGAAATAAAATTGTAGAGACGAAGCTATATTGTTTAATAATAATAAATACCTCATAAAAGCTATCTCCATTAGCCCCAAATGAAATTGACTCTAATTTTACGGAGAAGCAATAACGAGTATGGTTAGTCAGAATTAAGCGAAGATAAAAATCAAAAACTTAAATAATTACCGCCGAGAAATTCCCCAGATTCTACAAATTAGTCAATGTGTAAATTACTTCGTAATTAAGGAATATTTGAAAAGATCTCTTCCAAACCTTGATCAATGGAAAGAGGATATAATCCCGGAATAGTTTTATTGGCTTTTTCAAGAAGATCAGTAATATTGTTAACCTTTGAATAATTGAAATAATTATTACCATAAAAAAAAAAAAAGCAGCAAAGTTATTCCAAGTCTCTCACTCACTATGAAGAAAAATTCACTATCACCAGTTAATTGTGATAACTTTGTAAATTCTAAATACAGGGTTCCAATTTGGGCCAATAATCCAACATTTAAATATTGATCATAAACTTTTTCATCCGTTTCTCTAGTATTTGTTATTGAAATATTCAGAAGAAATTAGTGCGTTTTTACTTATTCATCTCTAAATACGTTGAAATGGAATAATCGTACTTTGCAAGTGACAATTCGTTATATGGTAATCCAGTAGAACTATTAAAGGAAGGTAGCAAAGCAGTCCCTAATTCATACGCTTTCTCTAAAAAGATTGGATCATCTGACAATTCGAATGCACTTAATAATCCACCCAAATATCTAATCGTTGTCTCAAATACACTAATAAACCCATCGCTCGTGGAGAAATCCACCTTGCTTACAAAATCTCTAGATTTATTAAATTCGTCCTTTAAATCCATTATCCACATAGTATCCAGAGAATCAACTATTGTTGCACCCCACCCATTAAAATTATTGTTACTTCCATTGCTAACAGGTCTTAGTTCATCATATCCCCACGCGTATTTAGTATAGCCGCGCCAAGCATGGAGAAAGCCATTTCTAATTGACTCTTGACGTTGTTCTCGGGTTATCCTCTCTTCATTTGTCTCTTTTATTGATAAAAAGTCGAACTGAATTCTAGGTAAACGGGATACATTGGCTAGATGTACTTGAGTTCCAATATCACGTATAATTTTTGCAGAGGGGTCTGAGAGCAATGTCCCAATAAGTTGGTATGTTAGAATCACTATAAAAATAATGGCGAAGATCGTACGTCTTATACGATTGTTTAATTTCCAGGAAATTTGAAACGTTCTCGACGTTCTCGTTTTTTTAATCATACTGACATTGTATCAAAGGCGAAAAAAAAGTTGGGTTAGTAATTATAAAGTTAGCGTACCGATCCAATCAAAATCTCGGTATAAATTGGTCGATGTGCTACAACAATGCAATTAATTTTGATCGTGTAACACAAAATTAATTCAACTCTATAATGCCTAATTGGATCCAGAAAAGTCTGCCGCGATGATCGCTTAATCAAAATATAAAAATTTAACATATGATCGCTTAGAAACAGGTAACCGAATATATATAATAATGCTATATTGGCTAAGATAAGCAAAGTATTTTTTTCTATTATTTCTCAAGTAATAATATTAATTGATTCGACAATTTTTATATCTAAGCTTTAAAAGAGAAAAGGCATCACGTCAATTGATTTAACCTTAAATTAATGATAATATGAAGATATCAATATTTCGATCCACGGGCTTTATCGATTAAAAACAATAATGTAAGTCGAAGATTTGCGGAAAATCCAAGCTGACATTTGCGACTTGAAGAAATTCGCGATCTACGCTTTTCAAGTATCACATGTTAAGTGTTATATAGTATACTGTATATAGTATATATGCGTTTCTGATTGAATTTTACAATTCTTCTTAAAATGGATATACTAAGCTTAATCACCTTTCTTAAAGTGGTCTTGGGGGTATACTTGTTAGAATTATTGATTAGTAATTCTATTTTAATTTTATTATTAATTGGTCTTATCAATTACTATTAAAAACATAGTAATTTTATCATAATTCTATCTTTGAAGTTTTTAAATTTTAATTCTACTATATGTATAGTCTTGAGTTTATTTATATATAGTGTTTAAAAAAAATATTATTTTTTAACAATTTTCAAATATTCTTAATAAGAACTTTTTTTTTTTTTTTTTTTTAAATCCTCTGTCAGGCTAGTTATGTGTGCTTTATTAAACAATTGTAAGCTGTACATATAGT